CTCTGAGAGAAATAAAATATTTTGAGTCTTTCCTGATGTAAACATGTTTATGCATTTGTATGTTTAATAATTTTAAGTCAGTCTCCGAACACAGAGCCTTAAGTCAGGGGACCTGAGTGAACATCACTGTGGCAGTGTGTTCCTTAGGCCAACAAACATTTGTTTAGCACATACCCTGTCTAGACTTGTGCTAAGTACTGGGCTATAAGGAGATTAAAGAGACCTCCAAGGAACTCAGTTTGCTGAGGGAGTTGGCACATGAACAGGATCACAGAACAACACAAGAGCTGTTACACATGCAGAGGGCTCTAGGTACTTTATCACTGAGGTATTTGCAAGGACACAGGTACCACATCCAGTGGGGTATGTTAGAGAAGAATTGAGAGGCTTGTGTTCATGACATCCTGGGACCTTGAAGAAGCCTTTTTGCTTCATTTGACTGACATTGGGGCCGTCAGGAAGCAAAGCAGACATGGCCTTAGACCGGTTCTGCTTCAGGACCTGACCTCTCAAGACCACTCCTCATAGGGGCCTCTGTCATGGTCTGGGAACTTTAAGGAGCTGGGTGAGCCAGGGCAGTATAGTCCTTAGGAAACTAAACCTTCTGTGGGTAGCACCCAGTTAGGTGGGTCATTCAGTTGTCCCTCCTCACCAACAGTGATTTCAGAACCAGGAGAGCTAGTTGGCCAGAAAGAAAGACATTATTTGGGAAATACTTTAATATCCCAGCTGAAAGGTTCAGAATAGGAAGAGGGCATTAGAAAGTCTAGAAGGCTAGGGTGGCATTCATTAAGCCCCTGCTAGGTGCTCTCGCATCAGGGAACTCAGCTGCTGCTCTCAGTGGCGCAGTGAGGTAAGCAGTCATGTCCACTTTACAGAAGAGTCAGACGAGACTCCGATGAGGCCACTCACCCCAGACCCAGCTTATGTGATAGACAACTCTAATTTAAATTCCAGTCTGCTTGCCGCACTCAGAGACGATTCTTACTCATCTCTAAGGGACCAGGCCAAGTCATAGGCAATTTGGTTGGATGTCAATATAGGAGGAAAATAATGGGTTTAGAATCTGAAAATCAGAACTAAAGCCAAAACCTAGCAGATGTAGTAACCAAAAGCTGATCTCAGGATCAGTGGATAAAGATGATGGGAGCAAAACAGCGTTGGCAGTAGTCAGTAATTGGGGATGTGGGTCACCAAATTGCATGTCTATCACTCAAAGATGGTCTCTAGCTTAAGGGCTTAGAATTGGGGCTCTGTTAGAAGAGAGTGTGTTGGAGGGTGGAGAAAAAGGGAGCTATCTTTTCTTTAATTGCTGCATTGAGAGGCAATTGGGGACTGTTGATTGCGTACGAGTTTCCAGCAAGAAGCCTGATGTGAAAGGGGCCCAAGGTCATGTGGGCAGATCTGCTGCCTGCAGACTTTGGGCTTCTTCCTGTCCTAAATAGGGAGCTTCTATTTGAGGATCCAAAACAGTTGAGTGACCTGAAAAATGTCAAACTTGGTTTCTTTAAAAGGTTTTAGTCTTAAAACATCACCAGGAATGAACTTAACAGAAAATGTACAAGGCCTAGATAAAGAAAACTTTAAAATATTATGAAGGACACAGAAGAAGACTTGAACAAATGGAAAGACAGACCAAGTTTTTGAACAGGAGCAGTCAATGACATAAAGTTGTCAGTCCTCCTAAGTTAAAAAATTTAATGCCATCTTAAAACATACCAGGGGGTTAAAAAAAAAAAGTTAAAGTTCACCTGGGGAAAAAAATAATAGCTGCAAGATGCTGGGGAATAAAAAAAGAAAAGCAGTGTTCATGTTAACCTATTAAAACACATAAAACTATAATAATTAAAAGTGTCATTTTGGTGCATGAGTGAATAGACAGGCCAATAGAACAGAATGGAAAATCTAGAAATAAATTCAAACATAAGAGTTCAGTATGGTAAATGAGGCATCCAGAATCAGTGAGAAAAAGATGGATTCTTCAGGAAATAGTGTTGGAACAACTGGGTAACACTCTGGAAAGAGTAAAGTTAGCTCTATACCTCACCCCATAAGCCAACATATATTTCAAAATGGGTAAAGATCTAAATGTTTAAAAAAAAAAAAAAACTGTAAAAACACTAGAAGGAAATGTGGGCAATTCCTTTAAACCCCTACAGTGTGAGGAAGGCCTTTCTAACTTGGATCCCAAATCCAGGAGTCGTAAATGAAGATTGATAAATTCTATGTTAAACAAAAATAAAAAACTTAAAACTTCTTTAAGGCCAAAAAACACCATAAGCTAAGTCAAAAAAATTTTTTGTTTTTTTTTAGGTCTTGAATCTTGATTTAATAAAGTTTGTACCATATCAAATAATATCAAAAGTCTAAGAAAACACGATGGGTTTTTACATCATGTTTATAAATTATTGTTTATATACCATAAAAAAAAATAAGGTCAAAAGTGCAGTTTAGGGCCGGCCCCGTGGCTTAGCGGTTAAGTGCGTGCGCTCTGCTACTGGAGGCCCGGGTTTGGATCCTGGGCGCGCACCGATGCACCGCTTCTCCGGCCATGCTGAGGCTGCGTCCCACATGCAGCAACTAGAAGGATGTGCAACTATGACATGCAACTATCTACTGGGGCTTTGGGGAAAAAAAAAGGAGAAGGATTGGCAATAGATGTTAGCTCAGAGCCGGTCTTCCTCAGCAAAAAGAGGAGGATTAGCTCCTCTTTTTAGCAAAAAGAGGAGGATATTAGCTCAGGGCTGATCTTCCTCACCAAAAAAAAAAAAAAGTGCAGTTTAAAAGAAAAGTGGAAGTTGTTATTCTTGGTAAGAACTAGAAAAATGTATTGTCCCAAGTAAGAAGCAGTCTAAAGGCTTATACAGTTTCTTAGGAATTTTCCTTTAACTCTCATACAACTTTGGCTACCATATGCCATAAGAAAAACCAATAATACAAAGAGAGCTAAATAATCTTTTTATAAAAATAATAGGAAACACAGATCTGGTGATAACAAACATTGGAAAGAAACATAATTATAGAACTCCCCCCAAAAATTAAATGCGCTAAGTCAAAATTTTATAGACTAGGGAAAAAGCTCATCTCCAAGGGCTAATCCTCCTAATATATAAAGAGCTCCTAGAAACTGATGTGAAAAAGACCAACAACCCAATAGAGAAATGAGCAGACAATAGAGTAAATACAAATACCTCTCAACCTTGTTCATGATAAGAGAAATGCAAATTAAGAGATGGCATTTTTCACTTAATCAGACTGGCAAAAATCCCAGCGTTTAACACACTGTGTTGGTGAGGCCCTGGGGAAGTAGGCATTTATACCACATTGCTGGTGGGAGTGTAAACTGATATAACCTCTACGAAGAGCAATTTGGTAACATATATCAGAAATTTAAAATGCACATATCCTTTGACCTAGCAATTCCATTTGCATTGGGCAACTCATTGTTCTCTCTGTGCCTGTTTCCTCGTGTAAAATGTGGTTAATTCTACCTCATAGAGTTGTTGTGAGAATTAGATGATACACATAAAGCATTTAGTATAAAGTGCCTGGCACATAGGAAGTGCTCCAAACATGTCAGTTAGTAATATAATAATGGCAGCTAATGCACACAGAGCTCTTACCACATGCCACATTACTACACTGTGCTTGGTGCTTTTCATGTATTACCTCATTTCACCCTCCCACCAAGCCTGTGATTACCCCCAGTCAGCCTCTGAGGAGACTGAGGCACAGAGATGTGAAGTGGGTTGTGGAGCAGGATTCAAGCCAAGGCAGACGCCCAAGCCTGCAATACACCGCCTCTCTATTAGGTGCAGTGGGGTGATGAACACCTTCAGGGAGGGTGTGCGGCGTGCTGGAGGAACACAGATGGGCGAGCACACAGACCCCCTTGTACACTACCCGAAGGCCATATTTGGTTCTTAAGGGAAGATGTGGCTTTCAGGCAAGGCACTGCCACTTTCAAGTTGGGTACCGTGGGGGCAGGGATGTCCGGTTTTGCTTTGTTTTGATCTACTCTTAGTCCATCTCCCAGTCTGTAAAACTGGAGTATCACCTATTTCAAGCGTGGTTGTGAGGACTAAAAGAAACACAGCTAGGCCCTCAGGGTGTCACAATCTATGCTTGCTGAACTGAAGTGAACAAAAGTGAATGGGGCTGGGGGCAAGTGGGGAAAAGCATTCAAGAACAGGGAACAGCACATTCCAAGGCTACATATCCAAAAAGAGCTTGAAGGATCTCGGGAGGAGGTGGGGCTGGGTGAGGTGGCTGATGGCCTTGAGGACCAGCTAAGAAACTTGGGACTATTTAATAATAAAAGTAAAATGAAAGAGCCTCCATTTGTTGAGGGTCTGCTCTTAATTATTTCCATCAAAACTACATTAATCCACCAAAACTACTCGGGTGATGTAGACTTAATAAATCCAGTTGTACACAAAAGGGAACCGCCAGGAGCCATAGAAGGGGTGCAAGCTGGGAGGTGACTTGATTAGTTACGCGTTTTAGAAAGATCCCTCGGACCATGTGTTGGACTAGTGGCCTGCCTTGAATTCCAGACACTAAAAAAAAGTAATAACAACAACATTTACCATTTTTTCTTTTACTCCACAATTCATAGTCACTGTAGAAGATATGAAAACACAAGGAAGTTTAAAGAAATACAAAAAATTGTTAATTCCACCTTCCAGAAATATCCCAATTGATACTTTTCTTCCAGCCTTTCCCCCGCCCATGTAAAAAATATGTAGTCATTAGAATGGCTGATAGGCGGAAGATGGGGAACGTTAAACGCTGTTAAAACGCTCTTACGATTCCCTCTTCCCTTCCTCTGCGTTTTACTAGGACCACGCCAAGAGGAGAGGCTGAGTCCCCGACGTGTCAGGGAAAGTCCCCAGCACCGAGCGCGGCACCCTCGCACGCCCCAGACCGGGCTCTAGGGGGCGCTGCCGTGAGACCGGGCGGGGAGGGAAGGCCGGGGCGCGAGAACGCGTTTGCACTTGGGCACTGCCGCTGCCCGTAGCTGGCGTCCCCAACATGGCGGCTCCCCAAGATGTCCACGTCCGGATCTGCAACCAAGAAATTGTCAAATTCGACCTGGAGGTGAAGGCGCTTATCCAGGTACTAATTCCCGAGACCGCTGCCGGGCCCCAGCGTCCCTAAGTCCAAGCTCCGCTGGCCTTCTGTGAGCGCGGTGGTCTCACTCCCTAGCTCTCCCCGCTTGGTCAAGTCTCCGAGGTCGCTGGCCCCACGCCATGGCCGGCTATCCCCTTGTTGTTAACGCTTGAGTCCCGTCCCCTTGACCGTTGGCCTTGATCCTCCATCCAGTGCTGTCGGCTCGCCCTCTTCCGGGACACCCCCGGGTCCCCCGCCCCTGACCAGGCTTCCCCTGTGGCCCCGTTTGGTCCCTCCCACACATACCCCTGATCGTCGCCTCGCCCCGGAGCGCCTCACAACATACCTGTCACCCTGCTTGGCCCTGTTTTCTGACACCGCCCTCTCCATCATCTGGTAGCCTCCTGGGACCATGAGCCCCGCCCCCTGCTGGCCAGCTCCGCTGGTCCCGTGCTTCGTGGCACCCAAGGCCACTTGGCGCTGGAAGCACCGGGGAAATGAACGTAACCTGGACCGTAGTGGGGATTTTGAAATGAGGAAATCGCGTAGACTGCCAAGGCCTAGGTCAGAAGGCAGATAGTGAAAGTCAGCCTAGAGAAGGGACTTAGAGAGCCTCTACTCCTCGGTTTAATAGGGTAATTGAGGTGCGTTGCCTTAGGCCATTTAAGGGTGAAAGGCAGTAGTGCAATAAACCAGTTGACAAAGGCAAGAGGTAGGAATGGAGAAATGGTTCCTTGAGTTTAGCAAAAAGAAACCAAGAGTCTTAAACCTTGGTTTAAGGGAAAGCGTTTCCATTTCCAACAAATGTTACTAAGCATTGGATGTAGACTCAGAGTTTGCAACTGGCTTCGACAAAAAGCGAAAGAAAGTAGGACTCCTCAGGGAAACCAGACGCAAAATAAGCCAAATAAGTGGTTCATCTTAGGGTGCAAGGAAGTGTGATTTACGAGTGAGCCAGAGAACAAGTGAGGACACTTGATGCAAACATTTTAATTTCTTGAACTTCATGTCTCCCATGTATAAACTACAAAACTTCTGGGCCAATTCTAGTAAAATAAATTTAGGATTTATACAAATGAAATCACTTTTTCACATAATCTAAATTGCTTAAATCTCCTTTTGTACTCTCTAACATTTGGGCTCTCGTGATTGCTAATGAGAAAGATTGATCATAGCTAGATTTATTGTACTCTTGCTTTGTTCCAGCTCCTCTGCTAAGCACTTCACATACGTCCGTGGTCTGTGAGCTAGGTAATGTTGTGATGAGGAAACTCAGGCTCAGAGAACTCAAATGACTTTTTCAAGGTTTCACAGCTAATAAGTTGCTTCAGCCAGGATTTGAATCCACATACTTTGGCTCCAGAGCCTGCTCTAAATCCTGGTCCTAGTAATTCTGAATGTCCAGAAACAAATTCTAAATCATGTTCTAAATTGAACATGTCTGTAAACACTGTGATTTATAATATGTGGTTTGAAAGATCAGATAAGATGTTAATCTTGTCATATTAGGCCAGGAATTTAGCATCCTGGTTTTCCAGTTGGAAAGATCTAAAGTTGTAGGATCACTTTTGGGTGTCCATTCTTGTTGGACACACAAGCTGCTTTAAGCCTTTCATACTGGCCAGGTGGTGTTTTGTTAAACTTTAGGAACTCGTAAGTCAAGACAGAATTGTGTTTCTTCCCTTCTTTTTTTCTTTTTTTGAGGTAAAATTGGTATATAACGTTATAAAAGTTTCAAGTGTACAACAGTATAATTTGATATTTTTATACACTACAAAGTGATCACCACCGTAAGTCTAGTTACCATCCATCACTATACAGTTGATCCTGTTCACCCATTGCGCCTGTCCCCCTACCCCCTTTGCCTCTGGTACCACCAGTCTGTTCTCTGTATCTATGAGTTTGTTTTTGTTTTGTGTGTTTGTTTTATTTTTTTTAATTTTTTTAAATTTTATTTATTTATTTTTTCCCCCAAAGCACCAGTAGATAGTTGTATGTCATAGTTGCACATCCTTCTAGTTGCTGTATGTGGGACTCGGCCTCAGCATGGCGGGAGAAGTGGTGCGTTGGTGCGCGCCCGGGATCCGAACCCAGGCCGCCAGCAGCAGAGCGTGCGCACTTAACCACTAAGCCACGGGGCCGGCCCTGTTTTATTTTTTAGATTCCACATATGAGTGAAATCATATGGTATTTGTCTTTCTCATCTGACTTATTTCACTTAGCATAATACCTTCAGGGTCCATCCATGTTGTTGCAAATGGCAAATATTCCTTCTTTTTTATGGCTGAGTAGTATTGTCTTGTATATAGAGTTGTTTTTCTTTTTATGCTTTTATATTACCTGCTCAAAATTAATCTAAAGAAGGATGAGAAAAATGAAAATGATAATGTTTTTGCTTGTGTTGCAGAGGTAAAGAGCAAAGATTAGAATGAATTACAGTCAGTAGGCCAACCTTAGGTGTGGTCTACACCAACTCTCTCACTGTACAGATGGTGTCATTTCATTTCGTTGCCTTAAGAAAGACCCTCTCATCTCTTCAATGTCTCCTAGGATATTCGAGACTGTTCAGGACCATTAAGCTCACTCACTGAACTGAATACTAAAGTGAAAGAGAAGTTTCAGCAGTTGCGGCACAGAATACAGGTGAGTGGCTGCAAAACTGGGATGCTGAGAATGGGCAGCAGTGAACGGGGCTGGGTCCTGGCACTCACCTCTGCCTGCGTGCTGTCCAGGTTCTTCAGTGAACGCTTAGACAGCCAGGGTGACTGTACTAACCTGCTATCCAGGTCAAAATGAGGAACTTTTACATGCAGAGCCAGCTGTGTTAACAAGTTAACAGCAAGTTAACACTGCCAGCTGTCTTAAGTGGATGGCAGGGACACCATTGTCCCTGGAATTTTTCAACTTGAAAACTCTGAAGCTACTTCAACTGCTTTCTCTTCTCTAGCACTCTCTCCAGCCCATTCACCTCAATCCATCACCAGTGTCTCCTGGGTTTTTTTCATACTGTTGCTTTGCCCAGCCTCTTCCTTTCTGTTTCTGTAGTCACCAATTGCATCACATGAGCAGTAACTCTCCTGAATTCAGCTATGGTATATGTGCTGTGTCAAAACACAAGCGAGTGGGCAGTCCTAGTATGAAAGCATAGGTGTTCTGCTGCTGTGCCTTCAGCGAGGGTGAGGTGCGTGGCACAGATCTGCCCATCCTTGTTGGGTGGGTCTTGGGGCACCTGGTCTGGTTGCATGTGGAACTGGGGTTTAAAGACTTGTGCTTTTCATATGACATGGCCCCAAAGGCCCCCCAAAAACTCTTTTGCTGCTTAACAGAAGACAACAGTCTGTTTCAAAGCTGGTAGAAAAACTGGCTGTTTGGACCCTGAGAACAGTATGTCTGTGTCCTGTGTGTTGCCTTCCTAAGGTATTTTCAAGGGCAATTTTGAAAATATGCAGTTGTTGTCATAGGAATTCACTTTAGAATTTCAGCAATGTCACTGAACCTAGCTGATCTCTTTCTGCCTCCATCTCTAGCACTGATGAAATCATTGTAATTTTTTATTTTTGAAAGGTTGTTACTGTTGTGTATTTATGTATATGTGTGTATGTGTGTAATTATTAGCATGCAGTGAAAAGTCTTGGTTATGCCGCATGTTTGTTCTCTGTTCCCTCCTCCAAACAAGTAACCACCTTTGTTACTGACAGATCTTTCCATAGTTTCTCCATTCAGATTCTAAAACAAATATATTTTCTTAATTCTTTCCCATTTCTCATCTAAAAGGTAGCACACTAGAAGACCACTTTTTTTTTTATGAGGAAGATCAGCCCTGAGCTAACATCCGATGCCAATCCTCCTCTTTTTGCTGAGGAAGACTGGCCCTGGGCTAACATCCGTGCCCATCTTCCTCTACTTTATATGGGATGCCGCCACAGCACGGCTTGACAGGCGGTGCATAGGTGTGCACCCGGGATCTGAACCTGCGAACCCTCGGTCCGCCGAAGCAGAGCGCACTTAACTGCTGCGCCACTGGGCCAGCCCCTAAAATACCACTTTTTTAAACTTAATATACGTTGGAAATCTTCCCATATCAGTATTAGAGAGCTTCCTCATTCTTTTTTTATAGACATAATTTTTTTAGACAGTTCTCTATCAAAGTGCATTTATTTGGACTACTTCTATGTTTTTTTGCTTTTTAAAGCTAATTGATTCCCTAAAAGACCTTTCTTCAACTCATAAGGCTTCAACTCTCCAACCACACCCACCATCCTAATTATAAGTATTTCTTTGTTCTTCCTGTTTAAGTATCTGCCTGCTCACCCAGTGTTTATTTCCTTCACTAATGAAAATGACTTCACCAATGCATTACATATTTATTATGTCCCTTTCCTCCTCATCAGCTCCTTGAGCACCAGTGCATACCTGGCACCTAGTGAGGCCCTACTAAGCACTTGGTCAATGAACAAATAACCCCATCCTCGTTATGATCTGCATTTCCTAAACATTTATACCTGGAAATATATACAAGATTTCTATTTGTTTGACGTTTCTAGATCTTATATGAATGTCTTGTTTGTGTATTTGCAACAAGATTGTGTGATCTAGGAGAATTGGCCTTGTATCCTCAAAATATAGTGTTCTGTATATAGTAAATGTTAGACATTAACGGTGTGTAAATATGTGTGTGAATGTCTTTGTATATTGTTCTCAAACTGGAATTTTTTTTTTTCCTGAGGAAGATTAGCCCTGAGCTAACATCTGTGCCAGTCTTCCTCTATTTTGTATGTGGGTCCCCGCCACAGTATGACCGACGAGTGTTGTAGGTCCACACCCGGGATCCAAACCTCTGAAACCCAGGCCACCAAAGCGGAGCACACAAACTTAATCCCTACGCCATGGGGCCAGCCCCTAAACTGGAATTTGAGAGCTACTTTACCGTTTCCTTTTCTTCTAGAACTATCTCTGATTCTCTGTGACAGAACTTCCAGGCAGCCTGTCATGAAGAAACTCTGTATTTCTCTCTCCGTTCTTCCTCCCTCCTTCCCATACCTCCATTCTTCCATTGAGTGATTTGGTGCCTCATATGTGCCAGGTACAAGAGATATACTTAGTGAACACTAGATACAGTCCTGCTCTCACAGAATTTACATTCTAGTAGGGAATCTAGATTTTCAACAAATAATTAACTGATTACATTGGCAGACCTTTTCCAATTCACGTTCTTCTTTCTCTCTACCTCAGCAGTGTCTGAGGCCGTAAATTAGAAGTCACCTCTGAGCTGTTGAAGTGGTGAATACAGACACGACAGACCAGCATGTGCAAATTAGTATATAAGTACATAAATTAGTATATAAATGAGCTAATACATTGATGTTTTAGCATCCGTAGCTTGATTAAAACGGGAACTTGTTTTAATCTGTAAACAAATATGACTTGAGACTTGAGGTGTGATGACATCTTTAATTATAGTCTGATAGTTCCATCATCTGAATTTCTTGGGGGCTCAGACTGCCGGTTGTTATGTCTGACCCCCACCCCTGCGGCGGACTGCCTGTGTCCTGGTGTTTGGTTATCTGGACTGTGAGCGTTCCTCTTCTGCACACCTTACCTGCGGGACGTTTGTGCAGCCTGGGGGTGAGGTGGGAGAGGGCCCGGCTCTCCAGAGGATTTTGCATTTGCTTCTGCCAGGTCTCCTGGAATTATCACAAGTCTGGGGGCACTTTTTATGTTAATTTCTCTTCATGGAGGTTCTCAAGCCACTCAGGGAGGAGGAGTTTGAGTCCCAAATCAGCGTGAGGGTAGCTCCCTGGTTACAAATTCTTAGGGGAGGTATTTTATATCCCTCTAGCCAGAGCCCACAGCAAAAAAGGCCAAGCTTCCGTGTTGTCTCTCTGTGCTGGTTGACAGACATGTTCCTAGTTCACCTGTTCACGGAGGGCGTATCGCTTTGTGGGTCTTGGATCTGTGGTGTTCTCAGTTCCAATTCCTAGCCTCAGATGGCCCAAGGCTTCATTTTTCTGTCCCTACCTGGGCTTTAAAACCCTCAAACTGCTTATTACCAGTCCGTAAAGAAATAGGTACAGAGATTGAGAGTGAGCATTTAGAAACATGTAGCAGTTTAATATTTCCATGATGTCTCAGAGTGGGAGCAGTGGGCTCGGAGTTAGCAACTTTTTTTCCCTTTTCATGTCAGGCATGCGCTAGATTACAGGAGCACGTCCCCCACTGCAGGACAGCCACGTGTCACTCACAGGCTGACCTCTCTGGCTCTTAGTTCCCTTCGCACTTTGGGGCTCTGGGGATTGTCCTTACTTTCTTGCAAAATCAGCTGCATATTTAAAAGGATGTTTATTGTATGTTACATGGCATTGCTAGGTGTTCTAGGAGGGTTTTAAAGTGCTATTGTGTGACCTTGCTAGAAATAGAAGTGCTCTTCATTTTTTCTATTGGCTTTTAAAATCATTTTAATATAGAGCTGTTTTCCCCCAAAGGAGCTTGAGCAGTCTGCTAAAGAGCAAGACAAAGAGTCAGAGAAGCAAGTTCTGCTCCAGGAAGTAGAGAATCACAAAAAGCAGATGCTCAGGTAGGTGGGGCCTGGCCTCCTGCCAGCAGCCTCTGTTGGGTCACTTGCTCCCTGGGAGGCTTGTGCCAGGGTTTGCCTAATAAACCTGGGTTTAATGACTTAGTTGTGTCCTTGATACACAGACTGAATGTTCTCTCTAAATCAGTAATTCTCAGAGAGCGGGGGCAAGCAAGGGCTACAGGGGAGGTGGAACTGTGCATAGTTTACAAAAGCTTATTAATGTTATACTATATTTTATATTTCTAAAACAAAACCCCCAAACGGTTGCTTTTGTAATACAGGGTCCTTTTTTCAAAGGAGAATTGATACCAGAAAAATCTGCTGAAAGTGAACCTGTTTAAGATGGACAAAATTTAGAAAGTTTTGAATGGGACTTTATCTTAAAAAATGAAACAAAAAATGTAAATAAGCTTATGTTATGTTAAATTAAATTGAAAGTGTCATTGCAGCTATGTGCTAATCCTTGATTATATAATTGAAGTATGTGCTATTTCTTGGTATTGAATTGGGGGACTTTTCCAACAAAATTGCCAGAGGCCGTGAAATAGTACCTGTCCCTTCTTTGGCTTTTGCACCATAATCATAAAGAGGGTGGTTGTTACAAAAATATTTGAGGGCTCCATCAACTTTCCCAATCCTCTGGTAGCAAGATCATTCTCTTTTGAAGACCCTAGGTCATCATCCTCCTGGCTGTTCTCTTCGTCCTTGTTAATTGGTCCAACTCTGCCAGATCCGTATTTGTCTATGGCTTTGCTTCTGGTTTGAGTAACTCCTCAGCATCACCCTCGCTGACAGCAGCTGTGTTTATAACCCGCAGCAGTCAGGAGGAGGTGGACTGACAGAGATGTGGGCGTGGTGGAGGCTAGTGTAAGTAGGGAGATGTGTGAGTGGCAACCAGTGATCAGGTGCTTTGCTCAGTGGTGATACTTTGTGTCTTGATGGCTTCTGCTTCCCTAGGCCACCAAGAGAATTCAGATTACAAACACTTGGGAAAGAGGACCCCTTGTATAAAGTATAGTAATTTACACCAGACAGAATCAACTGTGCATGGGTTTAAAGTTGAGAATGGCCATTCTTGATGTGGAGTTGCAGGGTAGAGGAGAGAAAGCAGGAAATTAATACTTTGGCAATTGTGTGTTGAAACAGTACTTGTGCTTGCCTGGGTTATTGTGCTTGTCACATTGTACAGTAAATATTTGTTTGCTTGTCTTTCTCCCCAGTAAATTTGTGTCCCTTGAGGGCAGGCACTCTTGCTCATTCATCTCTGCATTGCAGGGCCCAGCAGAAGTCCCTCGCAAACAATTTGAAAATGTAATTGCTTCTTTTTAAATGTCAGGTGTGAAAAGGCATGGCAGATGGTGTTCAGGCGTCAGAGAGCTCATTTGAAGAGTTTAAGCGTAGAGGTGCTACTAGAAAACCACCCTATCAGGTCACGTACCCTATCAGTTCACCCTGTCAGTTCACTGACTTTTTAACTATTTCAGGGGTTAGCACAATTGATTTGAGCCAGGTGCATTAGAGTTCTAGCGCATGAGTTTGATTCTCTGAGGGCCCAGTTAACTTTTTTATAGTCCATCCACAAAGGCTGCACTGCTACCTCCAGGGAGCTGCTCACCAAATCTGAGTTGTCTCTCACAAGGGAGATCAGGTAAAGAATGTGAATAAATCATGTCAAACTGGGCCCTGCTAATACAGTGTTCTCGTGTTGTCCATGACTGATCTGTGGTGGGTAAAGAACAGCAGATCTTAAAGAAACATTGAGGAAAACTGTCCTTTTATAAGTTTTCTACTTCCTACAATATATATTGATTGAATAGCTACTGGACCAGAAGCTGTTGTTCTAGGTACTGGTGATACAAAGATGAGTGAGGCGTGGTTCTCAAGGAACGGAAGCCACCAGTGCATAGGCAAGAGCAGTAGAGTGTTAGAGAGGACTTGACAGAACAGGACCTCATGTGCCCAGTTTGGGGGTTTGGATGTTACCCTGAAGTCTGGAGCCATTGCAGGCTGTAAACAGAGGAGTCCCTTGGCCAGACTGCTCCCTCTCACTGCCTGAGGGGGACGAGAACAGCCCGGAGGCAGCCTCCAGGGTCCAGACGAGAGGTGTTGGAGCCTGAGTGACAGCAGTTGCTGGGGCAACCAAGAGGAGGAGGTGGCAGAAGGTGGAGATGGACTCTGTGGGTGCCTTCTGCATCACTCCCTGCCGGAAGGAGCAACTGCTGTGACGTGAACTGACTGACAGCCTGGTGGAGTCAACAGAAACTCACGCGTGACCCTTCTGATTCCAGCAATCAGACCTCCTGGAGGAAAGCTAATCTTACTTGCAAAATTGCTATCGACAGTCTTGAGAAAGCAGAACTTCTCCAGGGAGGAGACCCCTTAAGGCAAAGGTATCCATCTTTTTGTGTTTCTGGTCTCTGATGATAGAATAGATAACAGTTGGCTAAGTGCAAAGCCACTGTAGGGAACCCCCTCCTGTTTTCAGCATAAAGTTGGTATTTAATTTTATTATGTAAGTAATACTTTTTTAAACTATGGGAGAAATATGTGCTTATTTCTAGTAAATTGGTAAAATGAAGACAAATATGAATTACAAGATGAAAATAAGCCATAATCGTTATGAACATTTTAATATATTACCTCCTCCCATTATTTTTTCTTATTTTTTACAAAGTCATCATCTTACCATATATAAAACTTAGTATCCTGCTCTTCTTCATGTATTATTTATTTATTTATTTATTTTGCGGGGAAGATCAGCCCTGAGCTAACATCCATGCTAATTCTCCTCTTTTTGCTGAGAAAGACCGGTTCTGAGCTAACATCTATTGCCAATCCTCCTCCTTTTTTTTTTTTTTTCTCCCCAAAGCCCCAGTAGACAGTTGTACATCACAGTTGCCCATCCTTCTAGTTACTGTATGTGGGACGTGGCCTCAGCCTGGCCAGAGAAGCGGTGCGTTGGCGCGCGCCCGGGATCCGAACCCGGGCCACCAGCAGCGGAGCGCGCGCACTTAACCGCTAAGCCACGGGGCCGGCCCTTCGTGTGTTATTATAGCACAAAGACTTGCCTGTGTTTTAAAAATCTCTTTAAACAAAATTGTAACAGCATATAGTATTCCCTGGTGTTAACTAATCCTGTTTGTGTTTGTTTACATTTCTAGTTTTGCGGTATTGTAAATAACACATGAAGGCACAACTTAGAACATAAGGCTTTATCCACATTTTGGATGTTTCTTTTGGAGAGATTCCCAGGGATGAGAATAGGGTGAAAGGCGTGAACATTTCTAAGGCTCCTAATACATGTTACCAAACTGCTTTACTGAAGGAAGCATCAGTTTACGTTCCTGCAAGCAGTCTTTACGAGTGTGGTCTCAGCACACCCTTGTCAGTGTTGACTGTGATCATTTAAAAAATATGTACTAATTTGATAGATTAAAAAAAAAGGGGATGTCATTGGAATATGGGGCTTTCTTACAGCCAGGCTTTTCTTGACATTCCTCTCCTCACTCTGGACTCTTAGGAAAACCACCAAAGAGAGCCTGGCCCAGACGTCCAGTGCCATCACAGAGAGCCTCATGGGGATCAGCAGGATGATGTCCCAGCAGGTCCAGCAGAGCGAGGAAGCCGTGCAGACGCTAGGTAAAGCCGGACCTGGAGCAGGAGGCTTCTCCCAGAGACTCAGGCTCCAGAGCCCTTGCCCCGGCACCTGCCCCCGGGGGAACTCCTTCGCCTCTGCTCGGCCACTCGGTCCCCAAACTTACGGACTTGTGTGTATGGCTTCTCACTTCTTTGACAGCACGGTCTTGCCCAGAGTTGGATACGCTGCCCTTATTTCTCTTTTTGGTTTTTATGGTTATACTGGAAGATCCGCACACACGTGTCAAAATGTTTCCCCAGCAGAAGTGCTCCCAGGGGCTCCTGTGAAAAGCAGAGATGCCCAGGCCCTCTCCTGCAGAGTGGGTGCCAGCAGGGCAGGGAGAGGGGCCTGGGAGTCTTTTTTATCAAGGGCTCTGGGGATGCATGTGGCCAGGCTAGTTTGGGAATCCTTGCCCCAAGAGATGTTTAGTGTATTGACTGCCAGCTAGTCTGCTAGGACCTCAGCTTACAATTATACTCCCCAATGTTATTTTTACTGTGAGCTCCTTTTAAGAGATATAGTCAGAGGCCACAGCAGAAGCTGCTTGAGACCATCTGGTTCTCTCCAGCAGCTTTCCATGATGTCTCCCCCCCTCCTTTTTTTTTTTTGTGAGGAAGATCAGCTCTGAGCTAACATCAGATGCCAATCCTCCTCGTTTTTTTTTTTTTTTTTTTTTGCTGAGGAAGGCTGGCCCTGAGCTAACATCCATGCCCATCTTCCTCCACTTTATATGGGAGGCCGCCACAGCATGGCTTGACAAGCAGTGCATCGGTCCGCACCCGGGTTCCGAACCTGTGAACCCCGGGCCGCCAAAGTGGAGCATGTGCACTTAACCACTTGTGCCACCAGGCCGGCCCCCATGGTGTCTCCCTTGTAATGCAGAAGAGAATTGGTTCTCTCCAGGGTCTTCAGTGTAGGAAAACAGAAGAGAGTTCACTCCTTGAGACACTTTTGAAAGATTTCACACAGAGACGAAAGTAGAGAGTGTGGTACTTGAATCCCACCAACCCATCACCCAGCTTCAACAGTTGTCAGCTCACGGCCAATCCTGTTTCAACTCTGTCCTCACTGTGCCCCCATCTGGGTTATTTTGAAGCAAATCCCAGACATCGTACACAGATATCTCAGTATGTCTCTCTAAAAGATAAGAGAATCTTGAAACAAAACCACAATACCATTATTACCTCTAAAAATTATCTGTAATTTTGAACCACTTGTTTTTTTCAGTGCACTATTCAAACAGGCAGAAGCAAAAGGAGAGCAAGCAGCTTGTCCCCAAGGTCACTGCCTGTGTTTGAAACTTACCTGGACATTCAGGCTCAGGACCTGCCAGTCACCTCCTCTAAGTGAGTGCTGAGGGCAGCCCTGAGCCTTGGGGGAGGCTTCGGAGAACGTGAGAAAGAGGAGACCACCTGACTTTAGAGTCGAGGGCTTCTCTGATCTGAGGCGGTGGTGGGACACCCCATCCCCAGCACAGAAACAGACAGTGAATTTAAGTGGTGAGAAGGGTGCACAGATACCGATGGTTTCTAGGGTGTTGAGGGTTGTTCTTGGGGCATGTTTTGTAGGAGAGAGAGCTATTGAAGAAAGAAGGCAGTTCTTAATCCTTTCCTTATGGCTCACAAATTCAGCGTGGATTTAAAAGCCTATTATGACCATAACTTTTTAAAAAATCCTGTTAGGGTTATGATGTCTGGAATTTGCTGTAAAATCAGAGGAGTGGGGGGAATTGGGTGGGAGTAGCGAAGGGACGGATTGCCAGGGAGTTGGTGGTTCTTGGGTATGGGTGATGGGCTCATGGCATTTCATGATACCATTCTGTCTACTTTTGTCATGGTTTAAAATTCTGTATAAAGCAAATTTAAAAAGAAAGGCCTACTAGGTTTTTACTTAACAGGTTCTTACTTACTTAGGTTTTTGAAATGGCAGCAGGCATCGAGAAAGAGGGCGGAGAGGGATTTTTGTTATGTCTTTGTTTTACCCCCTTAACTCCCTTTTTCAAAACGCTGCTGTGTTTCTTCTGGTAATTTCTTTTATTTACTTATTAACTTTTAATTTTGTGAAAAGGTAATATAAATTACATGGTTAAGGAAAAAACCTCTAGGCCAGCACTGTCCAATAGAAACAGTGTGAGCCACATATGTAACTTTAAATTTTCTAGTAAGCACATTAAAAAAAGTAAAAAGAAACTTATGAAATTAATTTTAATAATATATTTTATTTAACCACTATATGTAAAATATTACCATTTCAATATGCAATGAGTATTAAAAATTATTGAGATATTTTAAATTTCTTTTTTTTATACTAAGTTTTTGAAACCACATGGGTATTTTACACTTAGAGACATGTCAATTTGGATTAGCCACGTTTTACATGCTCAAGTGCCATGTGTGTCCAGTGGCTGCTGTATTGGGCTGCACAGCCCTAGACAGGACAAAAGGAAAACAGAAAGAAAGCTGTCCCTCTGACCCCCCTGACCCCTGACCACCAGGTCTGCTCCCCAGAGGCAACTGCTGTTGCCAGTTTCTTTTATATCCTTCTGAGATCCTCCAAGTGCGCATGACACAAGCAAATTAAATGTTATTTATCCCCCTTTCTTACATAAATGGAAGCATGTCACACACATTCTTTCACACCTCGCCTTTTCGCTTAACAACATGTTCCATTCTGTGGATGTTCTGATGACGGCTTGTCAGCTTTGTAGGAGAGTCTTGCCAGGTAAACCTTCCCCAGTTGTCAGGCCCAGATAGCCATGCTCAGAAGTAAATTTGACGCCTGGGCACAATGAGCCTTAGGGGATATGTGCCTCCTCTTAGGTTTCACACAGCGGCCAGTGCACAGGTGTCACATCTTCAAAGCTACAGCCACTGTCCCAGGACAGAAGGACTGATATGTGTGACGGCTTGTGGCAGGGCCCAGCCGAAGCTTTCATGGTCCCACAAAGAGCAGATCTGACCATCAGGTGTCCTGGCAGGGTGCACCTCACAGGTGGAAAGTCTTGGTGCCTCCCAGTTTCTGCCCCCATGCAGAGCTCACAGTGCCTGTCCACAATCACCCGGGGTAGTTTTGTGGCTCCTGGTTTTTCTCAGCAGCGCCTGCCTGCTTCAGAAAGCTGAGGTTAGCAGTGAGGAAAGGAACCCTCTTCTGCCCTTTTCCCTAGTGATATCCATGTCAGAGGACTCCTAGTTATGGCCCTGTGACATTGTATGTAAACAGCCATGTCACTCTGAACTGGCTGGGACCTAGGGAGGTGCCTTTCCTTGTTATGTCCTTGTTCCCTTGTTCCTTTGGATTGTCCCTATTCACATTCTTTGCTTCTGGCCCAGAGGAACTTGCTCCAGAGTGCAGTGCTCTATGCTGGTAATCCAGTTGGCAGAGCGAAGTCTTTGGATTTTGTGCTCTACAGTCTCTGAGGCAGGCTTCCTCCCTCTTTTGTTTCAGTCAGTTCTTCACGGACTCTCCTGGATGCAAATGAAGAATTTAAGTCCATGTCGGGGACCATCCAGTTGGGCCGGAAGCTCATCACAAAATATAATCGCCGAGAGCTGACAGACAAGCTTCTCATTTTCCTTGCCCTGGCCCTTTTTCTTGCTACAGTCCTCTATATTGTGAAAAAGCGGCTCTTTCCATTTTTGTAAGATCTGAGTGCTGCCAGCTTCTGCCCTTTAAGCTCCAGTGTCAGGATCCAGCCGTGCTCCTGAGCCCTGGCCCAAGCTGCCAAACCCATCCACGCACCCCAAGTCGGATACAGTTGCTCAGCAGGTCGAATGGAGACACAGCCCCCCAGGTTTCTGCAGGTGGCTGGCTGTTAAAGGGCGAGCAGAGCAAGGAGAGGCCTGTCATCAGGATACCTACAGGCCACAGGGACTCCAAGAGCCATCGCACACTATGGGTGGCTGCCATGTAGGGCACTCAGAGGCCAGCCTCCAGGATTTGATGCTTCTCCTCTCTCTCTCCCACTGTGGCTTTAATGCCAGGTCTGGTGGAGGGAAGAGAGAAGCGGGGGAAGAAAGACGATGAAAACTCAAATCCATTCCTTGAATAAACTTGACTGTATTTAGCAGAATGAAATGCATTTGGTTGTATAAGGTATACCTCTGGGAATTTGTGTGCCTCTTTTGTGATGTTCAGATTTGTAGGACGTAAACTTAAATCATTTATTTGTTCGTTAAACGAATTATTAAGCAGCAGCTGCACACAGTGGATTATAGACACTGCTGACTGTTACAAATATGTTGGTAAAGCAGCCATGCTCCTTCCCTCAAGGAGCAAGAAGAACAAGATCCCTCGGAGTCTAAGGAAGGAGCGTGCAAACAGCCCCCACTGGAGGTGGCTCACCCAACATCTGAAAAGGCTGAGGCAGACAGCCTTCTCCTCTTTCTGTGCACAGTGGCCTGGCCTGGCTTGGGAGTGTGCAGTGTCTCAGGGGCCAGCCCACGCCTTTCTCTTTGAGGTCCAGAGCTAAATATAACCAGGGAGAGCAAAGCTAGTGATAAGCTGAGGCCTGTCTGGGCCTGAGTTCTGTTGAGGCCAGGGGGATAGGGCCTGGGCTAGGCCAGGCTGGAGATGTTCGTTTTTCCTTGTGCTGTAGGCCTGGCTGACCTTGCACATGAAATCCCAGCCCCCCCCCACAACACACACTAATTATAGCCTTAGAGGGGTAATGTAGAGGCAGAGGGGAAAGTGGAAGGAACATGGACTTTGAAGCTTGGCTCAAAGACTTGGTTTTGAGTCTTAGCTCTATTACTAATGGACCACATGACTTGGCAAATTACCTTATGTCACTAAGCCTCAATTTCCCCACCTGTAAAATAGGAGGTGATAGTCCATATAGATGCTCAGGGAGTCAATTTGAGAATCAAACAAGAATGTAAAGTAGCAAGTGCAACTTCTGTCTGACTGAGCAATGGGCTTCCCAAATGTAGCCGCCTCCAGGACACTGGGCCCTGAGGTTTCCTGCAGGAAATAGCCAGGGGCTTTAGGGAAAGCTGGCCTGGGCACTGGAAGTTCTGTTTAGATCTGTTTGGGCAGGGGGTGTCAACAGTTAAGGCCTCAGTTATGGAATGCCAGATTGTGGTGGGACCAAGTTATAAGAGATTGGCTGCACATCTCAGACTAGTTAGTTTAATGTGTAGGTTCTGAGTGCGTGCGCGCGCGCACATACACACACACACACACACACACACACACACTCTCTCTCTCTCTCTCTCTCTTTATATATCATCCTTAAACAATTTCTGGCCCCAGAAGACACTCAGTGCAAATTGTGCACGCATGTGTCTTATTTATAGTCAAATTAAAGCTGAGAATAAAGCACAGATGGGAAATTCCCACTCAGATTCCAGCTGTAAGTGCAGCAGATGGATGTTACCAAGTTAGGATTTTCTTGTCTTAACATTTTTCTTTACTACTTCCCGCTAATTGTCAACATCCTCCTCACAATATGGAAATATGTGGGCTCTGTACTCCCTAAAAATTCTCCCTTTGACACTTTATTCCTCTTTTACTTGCCTGCTTCTGAAAATAGGGTTGAATTTGACCCATTTTGAAATGTCACCGACAACATTTTATCTTACAACTCCAATCAGCCGCCAGGGTTAAAAGTCGTCCCCACGCGGGCTGGCTGTGCAGGACGAGGCCATCTCCATGTTCAGCCATGAGGGGGCAGTGTTCACATTCGCTCTATCATCTTGCTGTAAGTACGACTATCTCCATCAGTCTGTGTGAAATGCTTTTATGGATTTTTGTTTTTTAACAGGTTTTTTAAAAAAATACAAATGTACGAAGCTTACCTATATATCTTGTTTTGGGAAGACATTTCATGAATGACCTGAGTTTTCACTGTTAAACAGTAAGGCAAACTTGTATTCCACATTTTGTATTAGCTGACAGTCAAGGAATTAAAAGTATAGAGCAGTTGTCAAGAGATCTTTCATTCTAGAAGTGTTTATAGAGCACCTACTTTGTGCCAGGCACTGTTAGGGATTCACAGTGAACAAAACGAGGAGTGCTTGTCATCATGGAACTTATGTGGGGGAAGGCGGGCAGATGATAAACAATTACCATACTGAGTCAGTCATTCATTACATTAGAAGGTAAGTGTTTGGGGGGAGGTGGAGCCGGCTAGTGACGAGCTGGCGCGTAGGCGTGGGGGCACGTTTGCAATATTAAGTAACGTGGTCAGAGTTGGTCTCATTGAGAAGGTGAGATTCGAGCATAGACTGGAGGCAGGGGAACTTAGCCATGTGGACAGCCGAGGTCCACACAGCAACCAGCTAGAGCAAAGGCCTGTTGTAAATTATTGTAAGAAATTTATATTTGGTGCTCGTCCTGTTCCTGGCACAGAGCTCCTTAAACCGTTGGAATTTCCTGTGACGAGAGTGCTAATGGTGTCTTTTGTTATGTTAATGAGGTGACTTTTGGAAAGCACTAAGGATAAGGGCTAGTTGCCAGAGGAGCCAGCCATGTGATGAGAGGGTTGGAACCTTCAGTCCCACCCCCTGACCTCTGGGGAGGGGAGAGGAGTGGAGCTGGAGATTGAATTCAGGCACTAGTGGCCAGTGATTTAATCAATCATGCCTGTGTAATGAAGCCTCCAAAAAACCCCAAAAGGACAGGGTTCAGAGAGCTTCCAGGTTGGTGAACACACATGGAGATTCCGCGGGAGTGGCACTCTCGGAGAGGGCATGGAAGCTCCGCCCCCTTTCCCCATACCTTGCCTTATGCATCTCTTCTATCTGGATGTTCCTGAGTTATGCCCTTTCATTATAAACCGGTGATCTTGTAAGTGATCTTAATGTTTCTCTGAGGTCTGTGAGCCATTCTAGCAAATTAATGGAACCCAAGGAGGAGGAGGTCATGGGAACCTCCAATCTATAGCCTGTTGGTCAAAAGCACAGGTGACAATCTGGTTTGTGATTGGCCTCTGAAGTGGGGGGTTAGAGGGCAGTCTTGGAGGACTGAGCCCTTAACCTGTGGGATCTGACACTCTCTCCAGGTAGATAGTTTCAGAATTAAGTTGAATTGTAGAACACCCAGCTGATGTTGGACAATTGCTTGGTGGTGTGGGAAAAAAACCCACATTGCAATTAGGTGCAGAATGGGAGCATGACTGGCATATTTGAGGAATAGCAAGGAAGCCAGTGTGGATAGAGCAGAGTGTGAGGAATCGGGGAGAAGTAAACAGGAGGTCAGAGAGACAGTGGTGGACAAAATCATAAAAGGCCTTGTAGGTCACTGGAGGGATTGGCCTTGTACTCTGAGGGACATGGGGAGCCTCTGGGAGGCTTTGAGCAAAGGAGTGACTTGACATGACATGGATTGAGAACAAAGTGCACCGGGATAAGGGCAGAGCAGAGAGAGCAGTTAGGAGGACAACGTAGCTGTCCAGGTGGCTGATGATGGTGGCTGTACCAGGCTGATATCAGTAGAGGTGATGAGAAGTAGTCACATTCTGGATGTACTTTCAAGATAGAACCAACAGGATAGGGTTTCCCGAAGGAATGGATGTCATTCTTGAAGGAAAGAGAGCAAGAAACTATGAGGTTTTTAGCCTACGTAACTGAAGGAGGAAGATCAGGAGTTGGGTTGAGGACACGTTGGGTCGAGATGTCTATTAGACACCCAGGTCAAGATGACAGGTACACGGGTCACAGTGTAAGTCTGGAGTTTGGGAGAGCAGTCAGGGTGATAGAGGGATAAATTTGGAAGTCTCTGGGGTATAGATGGAATTTAAAGCCAAGAAGTTGGGTGAAATCACCCAGAGATTTGAGTATAGAGAAAAGGGCAAAGGGAGAAGAGGAAGCAGCAAATGAGACTGAGAGGGAACGACCAGAGAGAGGAGGCGCTCTCACCAGGGATGCTTCTTGGGGAGTCTAGCTGTGCTTTTAATCACCAAGAAAGGAGATTTTCTGATCTTCAAGAATCTGTATTTTTCTTCGTCGTTGTTATTGTCATCATCACCGTCATCAAAAGCATCTAATATTTGTTGAGTTCCCACTATGTCAGATACCCGAGGACTGCACAGAAATTTGAGGCCCTGTGCCCTCATGGACAATACAGAATGCCAGCGGTGCCTGTGCACTGGGTGCCGTGTGGGATCTGCGGGGTGAGAGAGCCTTCCTCTGGACAGGATGCGGAAGAGTTTGCTTCCCCCATGAGCCACTGTTGTCTCTTCACTGCCCAACTCTGACACGGGTCTCCATTTCTTCCCTTCCTGCTCCCCAGGCCACTTCAATCTGGCTTTGGCTACCATCACCCTCTCCAAAACAAGCCTTGCTGAGGTCCTCAGTTACCCCCAGGCCGCTCATCTGGAGGCTGCTGCGCCCACCTTTCCTCATCTCTCGGCAGTTGTTGATCCCGTTGGTCGCTAGTTCTCCCCAGAAACCTCCTGCTTCTGTGACACACCCGCTCTTGGTTTTCCTCTTGCTTCTCTGGCAACTCCTCTCACTCTTCTTCGTTCATCTTCTGTTCAGCCTTAAATGCTGGCTTAGATCTTAGCTCTTCTCCCTCCATATGTTCTTTCAAAGGCCAGGCCATCCACGTCCCCACAGCTTCGGTCATCGTCTAGAGGATCATCCTCAGTAATTCCAGAGTTATAGCTCCACTGGGGATTCTCAGGAGAGCTCCCACCCCTCTGTCAGCTCCATCCGGGTGTCTCTGAGGCTCCTCCCCTCAGCGTGTCCCTGACTTGCCGTCCCACAAACAGCCTGCCCTTCTCCAGGCTTCCATCTTCTCTGACGTGCCTCCCATTTCCCCTTCCTGCTTTCCATTTCCCTTCACCAAGCCCCTCTCCTTGACATTCGTTCCCACCCAGTCCAGGCGATGAGACTTCCTTCAACAGATACCTGTCAACATTGTTCTGCAAGGAAGGTATCAGTACATACATTGTGCCGGGTGAATTTAGGTGCTCAGAAGGGCCCTGCTGGAGGCAATGTAGCAGGGTGACTCAATTAGGAGATGCTTCTAAGGAAAAAAGACAGTAAAAAAAAAAAGAGAGGGACCGGCTCCGGGGCTTAGCGGTTGAGTGCGCGCGCTCCACTACTGACGGCCCGGGTTCGGATCCCGGGCGCGC